GACACCCATTCCTATAAACCTCATCTAAGTTAATGCTTTGAATTCGCTCATGTTTCCTGAAGCATCACTAAACCCACTCAGCTGGAATTGTATGGAGCCTGAAAATACAACCCCGCTATTCTATTTTCCAAACCACTGAAGAGGATGGTTGAAACCCATATGGGACACTGACTCCTACCAGGGCTGTTGCAAGGCCATAGCATATCTTTCTGCAAACCAGAAAAAGTCATCCCTTCCTAAGGGCAGACACAAGCCAGGACTGGTGTACATGGAAATGAGAGCAAGGGCAGGCTGTGTTTCAGGCGCCACCCGCCCCTGCAACAAAGCCCCAAAAGGCACAAGACAACCTATCGTTAATCATGTTACAAAGACCCTTTTCATCTTCTTGAGCTGTGTGTGCATGAGCTAGGGTGTAGTTTGAGTCTTTTGTTGGGTACACTGGATAAAGGCCAAAGATTCAGGAGACCTGAGTAACAGCTGAGTGAAATTTTAAACTCAGAAGAAAATGTCAAAGTCAGATAAATCTGAATTTATGGAGATCATAAACTGTATTTAAAAGTTCTGCAGTTGGACAGAAATGGAATTTGATTCCGACTTAGTCACACAGCAGGCAACTTCACTGAAACTCCATTTTTTTAAATCTGCAAAATAAAGATAATTCCTATTTCACAGAACCTAGATTATGTCAATGGTAAGACTCATTTTCATTCCAGAGGTTTGTAAAAGGTGAAAAAATGGCCAAATGTATCTTGATTTCAGAAGTGTTAAGACTAAAAATTGTGATCTAGAATATACAACATAAGGTAATACTCTTGCCCCCCTATAGGTCATGGCTCTTCTTTGCTAGGATTAAATGAGATAGTGTATGTCAAGGTTTGGCACAGTGCAGTCAGTGCTTAATACATGGTAGAAACTGTTGTTGGGGTGGTTGTTAATTGGGACTAGTGACAAAGAGTAACAAAAGATATACTTAATTCAGGTCTTCATGATCCAGCGAAATGACCCGGATGTCATCCTTCCCCTACTCCTGGATAAGCTACTAGAAGCCATCATGCACCAACAGGTCCAGAAGCAAACCTCAAGGGAAGATCCAAGTACAGAAAAGCACACAACTGAAAATCGTCCTATTTACCCTGCTGATGGAGACCTGGATCTGAGAAATGATTTTACCAGTGCCCAAATATGTAAGAGAAACATTTTATTAAAGAGTGTTGTTCAAATGGGGGGAGGGGTGGCTGGGGTCCTTTGAATGTGGAGTAGGAGAAAGAAACTTCCAGAGTGTTTTGTTAGCTTTCTAGCGTTTGGTGTTTCCCTTCACCTCCTGCTAACAGCTACTGCTATTACATTTCCTGTGACTTGTGAATTGATCACTGATTGGCCCACTGGTGAAAACCCTTCTGTGTGGCATCCTGTGATGTTCGTTTTCATTTAGGCCTGGAGGGGTCGGTGGAGGATGAAGAGGTGCCAGTCAAGCTCTTTCCCCTGCCTCCAAAGCAGCTGGCTCCTGCATTGGTCTAGGGGTGGGCCTTATGCCAAAGGACAGCCCTTCATTGTTCCTTGTTGCCAAAGACAATGCTGCCAGGGGTAGAACACTGATGTAGAAGAAATGCCAGAATTCTAGCAAGTGAAAAGTGGTCTGGTTGATGCAGTCTATTTCTTTTCCCCCCAGTGTGGTCTCAATGGCATTTTTAGAGATATGATGAATGGAAGCAGGGCATATGTGAATGTGTCAAATACACAGCCCACGTGATGAAAAGCAGTCTAATGCTCTTATGTATGGGACATGTAAATACAACGAAATGCCTCTCCTACAGAAACGAAGACTCTACTTTTTTTGGGGAGATTCTGAATTGGCTATTTCTTCCATTTCTGATTTCAACTGATTTGACATCAGAATTGATGTAAATGGTGTACAGAGAAGGACAGAAAAGGACTTGGTGGCAAGAGTTTATCTCCCTAATTTCGGTTGGCTTATTACAAGAAACGAAAATAACATGGACGTTTTGGTTGACTTATTGTGCCATGTAAAATGAGATATTATATGGTTATAACTGAATTGCTAGCCTTTAGGAACTTTTGAGGATGAAACTCAAGTGATAGTTCTAGATCACAATGTCAGAGAAAAACAAATTACCCAGGAAGGAATCTGAACTTGAAACACATGGGCTGGTTGATCTGTAGTTCACAAATATAGTTTTCATTTCCTCTCTGCAGGCCAATTCCATGTGCACTCCACAGCATCCCATTCCCGCCTCAGGGTCCAGAGGCAGGATGTGGCACAGTTTGGGAGTGGAGCTGAGTCACCATCCCACACATGTGATGGTACATCTGTGCCAAGCTCCCACCTCCTGACTCTGAGATTCACTAAGTCTAAGATTTCAGTCACTGGGGACTGAAAATTCCACTTGATTTAATTTCTCCCTAGGAAAAATTGCACTTAGAAAGGTCACAAATCTCCTGAAGCCAGTTTCCTTCAAGATTGCCTTGGAGATTTTAAATTTAAATGTGTGTACAAGTTCCACCTTGTCTCTGACATGCAGTGATGGTGGGCGACTTCCTGGGGTCAAGCACCATGAAAGCTTGTTCAGTAATGAAGCTGAGTCTCAGTGACCCACCTTACCTGGCCCCCTTTGGATCAAAAGCACATTAGGAAGACCGGTGGCCAGGGGATGGATCTTAGTCTGCTCTTTGCATAAAGTAAAGGAAGAGTGACATTGGCACTATTAGCACCACTGAACTAGCTACTTTCTTGGTAGCTAGCTTGAATCTCAACACTGCTATGAGCTCTGCTTGTTATGATCCAGAAAAAACAAAGGTCCACTTGCCCAGGGTTTCTGCTAGCATTTCTGGACCCTTTGTGTGTCCAGATCATCCTCTCTGAGAGATAAATTAGAGCCCTCACACCCTCTGACTCTGGCTCTTGGGCAGGGCACAACCTGCAGAGCTGTAGGGCAGCCTCTAACTTGCCTTCTCTTGAGAATGTGGCAAACCGGATCCATGAACATATGATATTGCACCAAAACTATGAAAAATTCAGAATTATTTGTGATAACCACCGGTACTCCAGGTGAAAAACTATATTGGTATAGGCCATTGGTGTCTTTCATCATGAGTCTATTTCATTAGTGTTGTAATGAACACTTTGGTTTTATTTTGGTTGAGAGAGTTAGATATTTTTCAAGAGCAAAACTTTGTTACTTTTTGGGGAGAAGCAGTTTATAAAAGGTCCTTCCCTCTTATCCCTCCAGGGATAAAAACAGACCACTGGGTCCTTTGAGTCTCACAAGGCTGACAAGTCTTGGCCCTGGATGCACTGAGGCCTGCTTCCCCTACCCTCCCTCCCTTCCTTCCAAGCCACCCAGCCAGGTGGGCCAGCACGGTCCCGCTGCTGGGCCTGGGCTGCTCCTCAGCTCTGAAGTCCTGGCACTGACGATGGGGCACTGACCTAGAACCAATTTCCTTAATAGTTTGGGTCACTGACCCCTCTGAGAATCAGACAAACTATGGATATTATCTCCAGAAAAATGTACACACCCTTAACACCCAGGTTTCTGCTTTTTTTTTTTTTTCATGTAGTTTTAGGGGTTTGGGAATCCAGGTCAAGAAAGGAGTTTGTAATCTTTGTTTTTTGCCAGGGAACCTTCTGGCAGCCTGATGAAACCATGGACCCTTTCATAGAATGATGATTTTTTTGGGTGCATAGAATGAAAAATACATTGGATTTTAAGAGAAATCAGTTATACTGAAATAGTTATCCAAAATTTAAAACTTTTTGTGATACAGAAATATCTATATGCTTTTATATAAATGCATTAAATAATAAGATCTAATGGCAAGTCTGATAACCACCATAATTTTGAAGTCCTAATGAATATAAAAGATATTTTATGATATCTGCCACACTGGGCTGTGAAATGAAAATGTCTGTAATTTCCATGGATGACAGGTGTTGCTAGTCCTACTGGGGTCAGCTGCCTCCATTCATCACTGAAAATACACTAAATTGCAGTTAGAGGTTGGTGAAAATAAGGGCTCATTTCCCCCCGCCCCATCTGAGTTCCCAGATCTTAGGTTAAGAACCCCTGAGATTGTAGAGATTCTCTGCACGGTGCTGGGCATGGCTCAGGGCCCGGTTGCCTCAGGCGGCAGAGGAGAACGTGAGACTCCTTTTTAGAGACTGCCTGAAGCTGTTGTAATTTTCCATATTCTGTAGGAAAAGCCAAAGGGGACACTCACAGTGGCTTCTGTCTTGTCCTCACTTATGAGGGGAGGAAGGTAGGGACAAGGGAGATAGATGCAGAAAGTCAGCTTCTCTGGCAAGAAGCAAAGGCACAAGGGGCCCCTCTGCAGAGCTGCCTCAGCCTGGGAGACACCCTGGGTGTCTTCTAGCTTGGGATGAAGGCAACATTTTCCTCTCGCTTTGACAAAAATAGGAGGCATATTTTTACCGAGTTTGCCTCCTGGCTTAACCTCATCTTTCCGGGCATGCTCACCTAAGTGGCAGAGCTCTGCTGGGCACCTGCATCCTGGGAAGGCACAGAGGCTCATTTTCCTTCTCCTCCTCCCACTGGCTTATTGAGTGGTGCTGAAAAATGCAAAATGCACACCTGTGCCCCAGATGCTAAGTATAAGCTTTGGGGGGGTGTGTGTAGAAGTGTTCCACAGCACTTGAAAATACGAAATGTCACTGTAGTCTTGCCTTTGTGACTAGTTGAGCTATTGTTGAGGAACACCAGGGGCAAAGCAAAACTTTCTCATTGGGATGCTAGAGCTCAGGCCTGCATGAGGATGAAAAGTTCAAGTTCTAGACAAAAGAAAACACTTTGCCTGATGGATGGTAGGGGAGACGACAAACTTCCAAGGAAAGGCACTCTCAAAGCAGCTTCCTTGGCAGGAATGTCTTGAAACTCAGCTTCATGGTTATTCGGAGTGACTTCATGACCTGATTTTTACCAGGAAAATGGTCTGTGAAAGAGGCTCACAGAATATCATCTGCTTACCAATTTTATTTCTTGTTTCATTTATACTTTCTCCCAGGGCCTTCGCTTCAGAAAATCTGCAGAGGGGAAAAAAAAGAATTTGTCGTTTTCAGTTAATCCCAAATTATGCTTTAAAAATAATAGATTCCTGGGGCACCTGGGTGGCTCAGTTGTTAAGCGTCTACCTTCGGCTCAGGTCATGATCCCAGGGTCCTGGGATCGAGCCCTGCATCGGGCTCCCTGCTCTGCGGGAAGCCTGCTTCTCCCTCTCCCACTCCCCCTGCTTGTGTTCCCTCTCTCACTGTGTCTCTCTCTGTCAAATAAATAAAATCTTAAAAAAAAATTATAGATTCCTGAGAACTCTCTAAAATAATTTAAAACTTTATGGAAAGATATAAAAGAAGATCTAAATAAATGACATATAGTGGGCTTAAAAATAGAGCTAAAATTTATATTAATTACTGGTATCGTGAATTTTTACTTCTCTATCCAGCACAGAATATTCATCCTCATATTCTGTAATTTATGATTTGCAATTTTGAGTGTTTTATGATGCAAGGGTACTGGAATAAAAGCATGGCTGTAAGACTTTTGTACCCTGCCCTTCTCTATTAATCACAGTACCAAGATCCTATAGATATAGTTGAGAATACATGCTTACTATAACTTAAATAACATTTTTTTCCTGATTATAGAGTAATAGGTCAGAGGCTGGCCAACTATGGCTGGTTGTGAGACACATCCAGGCCACCACCTACTTCTGTAAATAAAATCGTAATGGACCATAGCCACTGCGATTCATTTAGACATTGTCTATGGCTGCTTTCATGTCGTGTAGGCAAAGCTGAGTAGTTGTGACAAAGATTGTGCGGCCTGCAAAGCTGAAAGAATTTACTATCTGACCCTTGACAGAAGAAGGTTACTGACTCCCGTTGTATATGATGTTAAATCACATTTTGAAAGTATGAAAAGAGAAAAAAAATCCCTAATAACTCCTCCCCAGAAATCAGCACATTTTGTGCTTCATTCAGTCTTTTTTCTACTCCGTTTTTATAGAATTAAGATCGTACCATCCATATGATTTTGTGCTTTGGTTATTTTTCACTTAACAGTACTAATCCCTCTGCACGTCATTAGAAGCTTATCCATTGTCTTTGATGGCTGTCTACTAGTCTGCCAGATGGTTGTGTTGATGTTTACTTAATGACTCCTATATATTTCCAACAAATATGGATGAGATGCCCGCTGAGAGCCCAACTTTGTGCTGGCAAAGCAGTGTAGGATCTGGCCTATGTGAGAAACACGCAGTCTGATCCCCTATACATGGGGAGCCCTTAAGAAATGTCAGTCTTTCCCTTCTCCTCTCTGCCATGGAATTTAAAGGGCAACCAAAAAGCTATGAAACAAATCCATAATAAATGGCTACAGCAAATCATTGTGCTACCGTGGATAACTGTGGCTAAGCCACTGGAGTATGACTAGGGAGGGGCCTGTCCATGAGTGGAGAGTAGGCAGGAAAGCTTCATGTACAAGGTAGGATTGACCTGGCTTTTATGGATGCATAGGACATGTTAGAAAACTCTACCCACCATCATGCTTCATTAACTATCAACACCGGGCCAATTTGATTTTAATGATCGCCTCTCTCCGTGTTCCCTCCCCAGCCCCCCAAATCTTTCTGGATCCCAGTAAATCCCAGGTATCATGTTCTTTTGTCTCTAAGCTCTTTAGTGGTGTAGGATTTTGTTAGAGGAGGTGGGAAGAGGAGGGCATTCCAGGCAGGGGAACAACGTGGGCAGAGGCCAGAATGCTGTGACGGCCGGGCCTGTGCTTGATGGAGGAGAAGTGTGAATTATGTCACCGCTATTTTCCGAGTCTGGCTGCTTGGCCTGTGACTGTAGATGGGAAGTTTCCAAAGAAGGGGACTAAATTTCCTCTCACTGTTAGGTTTCTTGGAACTCCACCCCAGCTCCCTTATGAGGGTGTTCAGGCTTGTGACAGATTTATGGATGTGCTCTCTTCAGCTAGGGCCTGTCACCTTTGGGAGAGAAATGCAGTCCCATTTGATGCCATTCAGACTGAATTTGGTTCAGCAGACATTCAGGTAAGTCTCTGTGCTGGGCTCTGTGGGCTCACACTGGCCTTTGCCTGTGGGGCAGGTGGCATCTGAGGGGTGGTCCAGGCCACTCAGAAGATGAGGGCTATTTTCATTCTGTAAGTTCTGCCAAGCGAGGGGACTATAACTGTCTGATTGTTGCCTGTGTCCATCCCCAGCCCCTAGGACTCCACAGGGCTTGACAATCCTTCATTGCTCGGTGAACGACTCCTCTTAATGCCTGTTCTTGCAGAGTTCACTCACCCATTTGGATTCTTGAGAATAAAGAAGATATGAGAGAAAGGCTGCAGAGCTGCTGAATGGAGGAAACCAGAATAGAGAAAGAAAAGGGGAAGATAGCGAAGTAGAACAGGCAGTCTTCACAGCAGCTGTTCAGAGAAGCCCCAATGGGGGGCCTGGGCTGGGGCTGGAGCCCCCCCCCCCCAGCCTCGGCGGTGCCCCCACATGTCCTGGAGGGCATGGCAGAGGGAGCTGCTTCGTACTGTGATGAACCCACTCCAAAGAGCCGCCCTGCCAGGGCTGGCAGACCCAGTGGGGGAAGCCACCAGCTGTTCCAGTCTCTCCTCTGCAGCGCAGCGCCAAGCTAAAATGGACTTTCCCACTGAAGAGGTGTGGGCTGAGGGCTGTCCTGTCCGCATGAGACCATTTTCCCTTCACTCTGCAGTTGTCCCTGCTCCAGGCCACCCCACCCACATGTGTTCCTGATCTCCAGTTGTCAAGACAAACTCTGGACTAAGAAAGCTCAGTCCCGAGGAGAAAAGGGGGAGAGTGCAGGGGAGGCAGGAGAGATGAGAAAGAAGGTGACCCCCATTTCTGCCACGTTCATCCTCACCCACCTGCATCTCCGTACCTGTCCAGCCCACGTCTCCCTCAGCCCCTCTGCTTCCCCTTGCTCCGGCCCTAGACTAAGTTCTGATCATCAGGAAGGGGAGACTCGTGATGACTCCTTCCCGACCTGAAAGAGGCACATTCCCATTAATGATGTGCCTCAGGGAACCCCAAGGCGGTTGAACCTGTGCTGACTTTCGCCAGGGCTCATGGCTCCTCTGGACAACATCCTCAGCTGCGGCTCACAGGGGGAAAGGCCTGGCCTATGTCAGGGAGGCTGCACCTTGGGCAGGGCCAGGGAGAAGGCTCTGTGACTTAACCTGTGCACCCCCGAGGCTCTCCTCCTGGCACCAAGGCATTCCTCTCTGGGAAGTCGTTCGCTGCATGGCTCATTTCGGGAAGCGCAGCGTTGCTGGGGGTATTTCCATTGTGGGGGCTGGCAGGTGGCTCTGTGTGCTGCACAGAAAAATCTCTACCTCAGGGCAAGGCCTGGGCTTGGAAGGGAGAAGTAATGCGGTCCTTTGGCTGCTCTTTCATAAGCCTGGCTTCCTGTGACACCCAGCCTTCACTGACCCCACAGCAGCCACGGTGCCGCGCTGCACATTATCCGCAGAGTGCAAACCCTTCTCCTTCTTGGCTTCCGCGTCACCTCAGCCATCTCTCGCCCTGACTGCTCCTTCTCAGTCTCCTCTTCCTCAGCTGTTCCTTAGATGCTGCAAATTGCCAGGGTTTTGTCGTGACCCTCTCCCTGGGCACCCCATCACGCCAGTGTCTTCACTTGTCATCCCCATAGATAGCTCCCAGATCTCCCTCCCAGTCCCGCTTTATTTCCTGACAAATCCATCTGAGGAACTGATCAGCTCCCACCCTCCGAATACCCCTCCCCTTCCTTTTTCCTTTCCTCATCTCACTGCCCAGGACAGACACTCACCTATGTACTCCCGCCCCTCCCTCCATTAGCATCTTCACTCACCGCATCCATTCCCCGTCCTGGTCCTCCCTAATTCTCACAGCTTTCCACCTGGCTTCGTTCCTTCATTCCTCAGAGAAGGAGCAGTCCCATCACCCCATCACCTCAAAGTGACAATGGCTTGCAGAGCTCCCCCGAATTCTTGCTACCTGCCTTCAGGCCATTTCTCATGAAGCCAGCAAACCTTCTCAAATGCAAACCTGATCTTATTATTCTCCGGCTTAAAACTCTTCAAGGGCTCCCCAGGGACCACAGAACAAAATCCAAATTCCTTAACAGGGCTAACTAAACTCTTCATGCTGTGGCTGGTGTGGACTTCTCCAGAATCTTTTCTCACACCCCCCATTGGCCTCAGTACCATCAAGTGTCACACTGGCTCACCTTGGGGCTGTTCCCTTTGCTTGGAAAGTTTTTCTTCATCTGGCTAATTTCTACCTAACCCTGCAGTTGCAGCAGAGAGGTCTCTTCCTCTGTAGGGCTGGGCAGGTCTGCAACCCCACGTGCTCCATAGAACTCTGAACATCTGTCATCATGGTACACCATGTGGGAACTGCCTGCTGATTTGTTTTGTCCCCTTTCTCAACATCGTAAGTGTCCTGACGAGAGTGACCACATCTATTTAATTCACACAACTATCCCTGGAGCTTAGACCGGGGCACGCACTTGGTGAGCATTCTATACCTACCTGTAGTGTATAAGCAGCAGAGCGTGAGGGAGCACGTGGTGGGCAGCACTCCCTGGGGTGCAGAGACTTGGACTTGAATGCCCCACTGAATCTTAGAGTCCTCATTTGTAAGATTAGGATGAGATACCTCTCAGGGTTGGGTTGATGTGGGAAGTACGTGCACACAAACGTCCTTTGTACCTAAACCATGACCACTGCCTGGCAGTGTAGGGACCCACTTGGGTGATGGACTGTGATGTGGGATTGCATGTTGGAAACAGCAACTACAGACAGGAATGATGGCTATCATCCTCTCAGCAAACCAAGGGGTCAGAGGAGGGATCCTTGCAAGTCTGTGGTCAAGGACACCTAAGACAGTTGCTGAGTTTCTCAAGCAATGAAAGGGATGGGAGTTGAGGTAGAATCTCAGGGGCAATGAAAGGGATGGGAGTTGAGGTAGAATCTCATGTAAATTCCAGACCTGCAGCTCCTGGGAGAA